CCGGTTCCATCATTGGCAGCAACACACCCACGATCACTAGATCGACTGGGTAACCTTCAAAGGGCGGTAGAAGGCCTCGCCCTGATCCGGTTCTTCGCTAGGTTTCAATTTCGCAGAAAGCACTTTGTGAGTATTCCTCGTTTCTATTATATTACTATGTCATAGAACAATGTGGGCGGAGTCGGTATGATTGATGTAATGTACTCGGAAATCACATACTTGGACACACCCATATTTTAGAAAGTGCACATGCGTTGTTTTGCAGACACTGTGAAGCTTCAGGTGGACTTATAGTGCATAGATGAGTGACAGGAACTGCAGCACTGCTCGAACAGTCTGCCACACTCTACGGTATAAACAGGTCAAGCAAAATTCCCATTCCAACGGGTCGCTCGATTCGCGTCAAATTTCCCTGGCGCGACGTCTCTGATTGTGAATCGGAACCGTCGTATCCAAAAAAATCATAGTGAGCTTACGATGAAAAAGCGGCCATTAGAAATTAAGGTCAAGGCGGTCAAAGCTGCAGGGTTCCGACTGATGTGATTCTCGTCTTCGCTGCCCTCTTCAACGCTAGCGTTCTCTCTACAAAACGGCTAGGGCCGGACGACGACGAGGCTGGGCGTGCTGCGTCGCGCCTAAGGGCCTAGGCTGCAGGGAAATGCGCATCGTGGAGGAGTTTAAAATGAAAAAAATCTTTTCACTAGAAATTCTCGAGCATGACCAAACACCAAGTAAATTTCGAATCATCTTCAGAGGGCCCGCCACCCTTTCGACAAGGTATACTTCCCCTTCTTCAACTCCGATCATCGTGGAAGCCCCCTTTCAGCTCAGATCACCTATCATTCACTATATGAAGTGCAGCACAGGGAACTTCAAAATTTGTGCTTGCTTGAAGTCTCGCGAAGATCCGCCACATACTTGACTTTCCTTTCGAATTATTTTTTTTTGAATTAATACGAGAGTTAAAGAGGTAGCGCTGCGAGCAGAGGGAAAATGCGAGAGAGCGCGTAGTACGTGAGAGGGCGCAAACGCCACATAGGCTGCGATTAACAAGCATGGCAGCGGTCGCAGCGGTGAAGCGAAGACATCAGCTCCATTGCCGCGCACTTCAAGTGGCGACAGTGCGATCACTGTTGTGATTATGAGTCCATTTACCTCAGCCGAGCGGATGATATTTCCAGGATCTAACCGAGCGAGCGGATGATATTTCCAGAATCTAACCGACTTGCGTCTTTAGGGACTAATTTGACTCTTTTGATAGCTTAGGCGAAAGCTGTTCATCTAATGGTTCCTTCACATAAGCTCAGAAAGCTGAATTTGTTTTGATGAATTTTGGATCTTCTGCCTGCTGAAACACCTATTAACTAGCGCCAGGAATGTGGGGTGCGAGACTTTTGGCTCGTCCGGGCTGGCACGCGGTGAGCTGCCCGGCGAGCGGCGCTGCGATCCGGGCGCTTCGAGGAATTTAACACGTCAAAGCAAGCCATTGATTGCGGTATAACAACTTCCGCATGATTCTGCCCCATATTTGAATAAAATCCCGCGCGTGGAATTTGGAGCAGTGGTGTCGGTAAGATCTTAGCGCAAGGAGATGAAAGAGGGCTTTCATGGAAATGTTACTACTATCATCGAAGCGTAAGAATCACTAAATTAGGAGTTTTTGCTGATAGAGTTATTTAGTGACAACTACATATGCTTTGCTGGTCGAGGTGCTCATGTTCTTTAGTGGGAACATTATAGAAACATAGGTACTGATTACCACGACTAAGCGCAGGAGGTGAGAAGGAAAACGCAATAGAACGAGAACGAAGCCTCCCCAAAATCCCTTCCTCCCTAAGGCTTAGTCCGAAACAGTGATTGGCTCACTCACTTTCACACTTCACTAAATCGAATCGCAGAACCTTGCGGATTTTATCCGCAATATGTACACGCTTTGACGTGTTGAATTCCCGCGAAGCGCCCGGATCGCCGCGCAGTTTGCCGCGTGCCAGCCCGGACGAGCCAAAAGTCCGCCCCAGATATGTGTGCACAGACAGAAATTGGTGGCATTCTATTTTGAGGATAGGGGCAGAGTATGTGGCTTTCTTATTACCACTTCCTATTGTTACTCATATGGGGCGGAAGTGGTGTAGTGACAAGTGGCGCGCTTACCACGCGAGCGGTCCGGGGATCAAATCCTGGGTCGTGAGTCGCCCGGGCCAACCAAGCCTTCCATCCCTCCGGGGTCGGTTAATTGGTACCAGACTTGTCTGGGAGGATAAAAACACTGACTTGAACATCGGCTGGCCCCCGCAAGTCATTGTATAGGCCACATCGCATTCAAACGCCACTACGAATGTACAAATGGAAGTAGAATGCGTGCCGCATCCCAAAAAGGGATTGATCAACGGCAAATGCTTTATCCTTTTATCCTTTATTATCGGATGTTATTACATTATACATCCTGGTACAACAGGGCAGACGAGGGTTAATGTGCTATGTACTACTAAAAGTGACCTTACGGTATTGTTCTGACATCATGTGCCGTTGACTGTTGAATATTTCAAATTTTACACGTTCGATTATAAGATTATGTGACGAGTATGTTATCGTAGTCATCACATATTTTTTTAGGATGTTTTTAACTTGTGCACACTGTCAAATCTGCGAAATCTGATCTCCGTGTGAGAATGTTCGTCAGCAGTAGTTGTCGTCAGCAACTTCCGTACTGGGTAGCGAAATGCGAGAAATAGTAATCAGGTAAGCATCAAAGTTCCAAACCTCAGCTTTTCCATAAGGCAGATCGACAATAACCTTCGTAATCGAAAGGTCAAATTTGAGCACCGTCATGAAAGCATGGTGCGGGTTGCTGAACTCGAGGTCATCACAGCTCATTAGAGAATTTCGCATAAGAATTCTAGTTAGACCTAGACCTCGGGTCAAAACTTCTTTCTCTACCCCCCCCCCCTCATCTCCGCGACCACGCCGTGCATAGGTATTACATTAAGCTGGGTGAGGGGCGATTTGAACGCTCGCTATGCCTCTCGTATATGCTTAAAAACATAATATATCCATTGATCAAAAGCCATGCCTCCCGGCTCATCCGCTCGCATGCTTTAACTGCCTGTCTCTCATGAAAATTCGCCTCACCGAGGGAACCACTAGGAAAGGCGAGATCAGTTTAGAGCCAAAAAGTAGCGCACGCACAGAAGTTGAGCAGAGCTTTGCCGAAAGTAGGCGGGGCAAGAGTCGAAAGCCTACGTGACCGAGACAGGAATTCGTGATAAGCTCAAAACTCCCAGAGAGTGCGAAGAAAAACGGTGAAGGTAAGAACCACGTTGACAATACGAGATTAGAGACCGAGCCGAGGTATCGGCGGGAGGTCTTCTGAAGGGGTGCTACTGACTAAAGAGAAGCTCCCGGGATAAAATCGGTGGCCAAAGCGCTACGTAGTTATGGCACGAGCTACGAACGATGTTAAAGTCAGAACGGATAAAACAAGAGAAATCTTTGGGAACGCTGAAATTAAGGCTTTAACTTTCATTAAGGCCAAATATGGTTCGGAGAAAGAGACAGGACGATCAGAGAAGACAAAGCACGCTAGAGATCTCACCATTCGAGGGAGCACACTGATAACTTTCTCAGTCGAGGTGGGAGGGAAACGTTGCAACGGGGCTCGATGTGCGGCCCTAAGGGTGCTCCTTCCGCAATTTTTGACAAAGCGGGAATGATCGTATGCATATATTAACTCCGACCACAATGGGCAACGGCGTGTTCTTGGACGGCTTCTGAAACTTAATCTTATGATTTATCCTCGCAACCAAGTTAGAAGGAGGGAAATAGGAGGGACCGGCGGCACTCTGGAGACTGAAGGAATGGTCCCACGCTTGCGATGGGCGGATCGTGCACGGAGGTGGGCGGAGCCGGGACTAAATTGTTTTGACCCTGCCCCTGTTCTGAGCAGAATCGGAATTTTCTCCCCATGTTGCTGGTTTCTAATAAACCACATGAATCCTATTCTGCAGCTCGCTTGTGCGATAGAGGGAAACGCCCCAGCCGCCACATTTATAAAAAGAGCTGCATCATACCGTAGCTATAAAAGAGCGTCCTCGTGATTTTTTAGCCTAAAATTCTGAGACCTCGTGTGCAAACGGCGATTGGTATGCGTCTAGTTAAGAGTTGTTGTTCCCATCTGTTCCGAATAGATCAGAAGATTAGGAAAGTTGCTGGGATTAAAATGGGCTCAAATGCACCGATGAATCAAAACTTTACAGAGCAACACAACACTCCCACGCAAGGTCTACCAAGCAATCGCACTGCTCGAACGAGGGGGTCGCATTTTTGCTTTTGGGAAGGGAAGGGGTCGCCTTCAGGGGTTGAGTGGGATTGAGTAAAACTAGTCATTTGTTGAGCGAATGGGGAGGCGAACTAGATTGGTTTGTTGAGGGACTTGGTGGATGTAAGTAAACTTAGTAAACATTATTGATCAACGACTCAGGAGTAGGATCCTCGATCGGGAGTAGCTATATACAAACAACTAACAATAAGTAAGAAGTCGGATTCTACTGAGAATAAAGGAATTAGGGTTAGAATGAACACAAAAAGATAGGACCTAGTTTCAGTTTTCAATAGCGCTTCTAGTCAATCTTCTTCTTGAGACTCGCTAACCGTGCTAAATTTCTTTCACGTTCAGCTTTCATCGCTGCGAGTTGATCAAGCGGCATACTGCTATTCAAAAACTTTTCCATTTTTTCCAGGACGGGTGCCTCCTTGAAGGTTGGCATTGGACCTTGATCGGCCAGAACCCGTCGAATACCATCACCGTAGCGGGTGAAGTAATCTCGAACACCGTTCGCGTTCAGGTGCACAGTTTGGTGGCAGTGGCGCATCATGTGAGCCCCCCTCCCGCTCGACGGGTTATGGCGACTTCTCAGAATCAATTACTATAGAGACAGCCGTGATGGTGAGGTGGTGGTGGGGTAGGATAGCATCGAGAGCCCCAAAGGAGGGGGGTCGCGAAATTTTTGAAAAGTGCGAATTTCACGGTTGACCCTGCTCTCATGACGCGTAGTAGTTCACAAAGGGACAATCCTAAAGCTTCCGTGACCATTCTGGTGCACAGATTACCACTTCTTGCCCACCCACGCTATATGAGCCACAGTTTCGGAGGAAGAGTGTCCTTGGGACTGTTGCGTGACATGCGATACCTTCTCATAGGAAACTTTCAGTAAACACTCTTAAACACCAAAGGAATCACATCGTCACCAGGTATAAATGATCACAAAACCAGATGGAGTGCAAAAATTCATGCGTTCATTCTCCGCAAAAACATCTGAAATGTTTGATCTCATGAACACCAACTACCGTATCCCTGTACTTCCTGTTCCTGTTTCTTTTTTGCAACAGCAAAAGGCCATTTCTTTATGTATCTCGTTTCACAGTTATTCATAGCTAACCAAAATCCAGATGCACTTATTAATTATAATTTTTTAAATGAACGGTCTGAGCAAATGTGATCTTTTACCGTCATTGGGTGCGACATTTGAAAACGAACAGGGAGTTGTTCTGGTATTCACCACCACCTGTCATACTGTAACCTGGTGGAGTGCGATGTAATAAAGGAAATAGGTGGTCTGGATCCTCAAGAGCCAAGATTCCCAGACAGCCCTCTATTCGTCACAGTAAATTCTTGTGCTTATTTGTGGGTGTGCGTGCGAAACTCAATGAAAATACATGACTGCCTCGTAAACAAAGCAGTTGTCGTTTATAATTGAATTCTGTAAAGCAGCTGAAGTAGAATGATTGACAGCGAAGGCGAAAAGAGCAGCAGAATAGGCAAGAGGCCAGAAAAGAAGATGAAGAGAAGGAATGAATTGAAGGTCGACGATTCTGAGCTGAGGAATGCGCCCTGAACTCGACGTTCATCAAATTAACACATTAGGTATGTATTCGATGAAATCTTTACAGAGCACTACGATACCGGCAAATGGATACCTAGGGCATAAAGGCGGACCTCAGGCGTGGCTGGATGGGCTCCACGAAATGCGATCATCCGAACCATAAAAGGCGGTTGTTCAAGAAATGGTGCATGGTTCTTGGGTGAGTTATGGTATGTCATAGGTCATAGGTGTACGCTCGGGGGGGGAGACGTGCGTTTCTCCTCCTGGGGTCAGGTCACCACAGTTGCGCGATCATTGAAGCTTAAGGTTAAGTTTGGGTTTAGACTTAGGTTAAGGCTTATGCTTACACATTGGCTTATGCCTAAGCCTATGATTGGGCCTAGGCTTAGTCCTAAGCTTGCTCCGAGCGAATGAACGGCGTCTCAATTTTAGGTGACCTGACCCCAGGAGGAGAAACGCTACGCACCCGCGCTCGGGTACCCGACAGGAGGCCCGTCGCGCGGCAAGAAGGCAGAGTCAGCGGACGAGTCGCAGCGCGTGATGTGCGATGTAGGACGTACAATCATTCTATTTAACTTGACGCGAAATCACTACAGTACGCGCTGCGACTCGTCCGCTGACTCTGCCTTCTTGCCGCGCGACGGGCCTCCTGTCGGGTACCCGAGCCTACACCTATGACATACCATAACCCACTCAAGGACCTGTCCTCCTCTCTGGTACCCTGTACGCTCCATACTCATAGCCTGCACAAGTCCAGGTCCACTGACAATTTCATGACAAGTATTGTACAACCTATGCTCTCACACACCGGGTAAAGCAGCGCCAGAACCAATGAGAGAGCTGGAACACGAAAGCAAGGTAAGCCTGAAGTGTTCACACTGAAGCGCCCCAAACGGGAGGACGGAGGACGACTGAGTAGTATTCCTTCTGATAACCTCTTCTCTTTCTTCTGACTGGAGTAGACGCTAAAGACAGCAGACATGATGGATTCAGGGCGGAGCAATCTTGACGTCATCGGATGTCATTGGTGGATGAAGCTCTTCA